CTTGTTTGAATTGTTCCTTCGTAGACAACACCAAAAGATCCTCTGCCCACTTCTTCCCAGAAGTTACCTGTAGCTTCTGCAAGTTCTTGTAGGTGAAGCAACGTAATTTATTTCCATTGTGCTTTAAGCTGGTGGGAATTTCTTCTTGTTGATGAAGAAAAAACCGGGACAAAATGCACTGATGAGCACAACATTTACAAATACTAAGCTACCTAAAAGAACTCCTGATGTTACAGGAATTGCATCCAGGTTCAGATTCTTATTACCAGGGACTAATGGAGGAGCATTAGCATCAATTTTCTCATATTTGATAAAAGCCTTACTGTTGACACTACTATCTGCTCTTCCATTAGAGAGTGGAAGCTTCTTCTTCCAGCATTCTTCGCCTCTGGAAATGGCAATGGCACTAGACAATCATACAAGCAATATCTTTTGCAATCTTCTTCAGTAGAATTCTCAAAATGCTCGTAGTCAGACAAGGGCCAATCTGTATCTGTAAGTATTTCAAAATCATAAAGATCTTCACTGGAACTCTGGCCTTCTTCATTACAGCTTAGTTCAAAATCCGGCTTGCAGCTTCCATGCGTATCAGTCTCATCAATCAAAGAATACCCCAATCACATCTTGGCCTTCTACCATCTTGCAAGACTTTTTAGGCACAGATGAATATTCTTGCTTATACTCTTCTAATTTGTCTGAAGAGTCCACTCTGACTTATTAAGTTTCCACATTTAGGAAGCTTCTGAGAACAATTATAACAGATTTCTGATCTATTCTGGAACTTAAAATTAATTTGTCAAACCCTAAAAAATCTTGATATGGTAAGTATAGGCCAATTTCCAAACATAAAGCAAATTTCAAGCTTCAACAATATTGATGACTTATGCTAAAGTTTAAGTTCCCAAACAATGCTTCAAAGCCAACTGGGTATTTCACTTAAATATCAAAAATTCAAACTGCATATTTCAGCTTTCAAACTCATTGTGAAGTATAAGTACTGCTCTTTTGTTACTCTCCAGTAACTAATCCTGTTCTTCTGAGTTTCGTATGCATATATAATAAAGAATCTTCTTCAATTATGATCATTACCACAACAAAAATTAGATGTTGATAAATAATAGTCACCAACGTAAAAAAAGATCGCATTATACTGAAAATTTTCTTCTTGTAGGTGCACATTTGAAATCTTCAAACAATTCGTGACATTTCAAGTTTAATATGAGGATAAACCCCCTTGAGCTATTTCTTAGTATTTTCATTTCCAGGGGTTCTACAACAGAATCATAATAATTGACTGAATTAAATTTTTTTTTTTTTTTTTTTTTTTCTGAACATGATTAGAATGCTACAAATGCTTCATATCTTCACTTTAAAAAAGGCCATACAATATCCAATCTTTTTGTTCCCATAAGTACGGTAATTAAGTTCAAGATGTTTAGTTAATTAAGATACAAATGATGGCTGGTTTAGTTTAATGATATTTTCATATGATAAATTATCTGTTTTTTTTTTTTTCTTTTTTTTTTTTTACACTCTGTTAGTTTTATTCAAAAGCTTCATCACTTCTCAATCTGAGAGACTCATCTTCAGCTATATGATTATTCGGAAAGTGGTATCAATCTTGAATCTTGATGTGCATTCCTTCATTTCAGTTCAGAAATGAGAAATTCTGAAACCATTATAGATCATATAGTTGATGTTTTATAGTTTTTTTATGGAACATATTTAATTACAGTAGCAGCTTCATAGATCTTTGAAACCTAGCAACAAATGCACAAAAAGATGAAGCATTCATCCCTATACTCATCAATTGAAAACAGTAAGGCGATAGACGTAGTGCAGCGGGAACATCTAAAATAAACGTCTAACTAGTCAGTATAACAGATCAACTTGTAACGGAAGCTTTTGGAATCAACGATATAAAACTAGCAGTCTTTGAAGTAATCTGATAATATTTCTGATATATTCCTACAGAGTTCTGTTAATATAATTCACTTCCTCTCATCCTAAATCTACTTGAGAAACCAAAGGTTGCAAAGGAAAATAATTAATAAATACATGGAAACATAGTGACTTAAAAAAAAAAAAAGTATAGAGATCCAATTCTCCTACCTATCCAACAATAAAAGTAAGAAAACTGCAAAAATTCAGAAAGAGAGTTTCTCTTTCTAGCTAAGATCTCTACACAAAAGCTGATAAAATTTACTTGTTCTGGCTAGGATTTGATTCACTTGGTGGCTCCTTCTTAAGGCTCGTCTCCATGGCTTTCTGGGGATCATTAACAGCTTTATGCAACTTGTTTAGATTTGCAGAAAGTGAAGTAACAGAACCTCGCAATCTCCTTGGTTTGTTTCTTTCTCTATAATGACTATGTCCCTCATGGTCAAGAGAAACTAGTGACAACATGAGGAGAAAAACCAGAATTAAGGCAAAGACAGTAACCAAAGCTCTATGAATAGTTTTCATGGTGTAGCTTGCTTGAAAAGGAAATGTAAAGTAATAGAGATGGTTTTGGAACCAACAAAATTGCAAGGACCTTTCTAAGGTAGTTAGAAATGCATGTTTCTTACATATAGTTTGTGCTCAAGTCTGACAAAGTGCAATACATAGATGCAACTTAATAACTGTATAGTCTAGTAGGAGACTGTAAGGTTGTTAGGCACTTATTCATTTCACAGTAAAATAGCAATGGTAACTGACAGATGTGAACTATTTCCTACCAGGTTCAGAAATGATTGGAACAGGAATAAAAATATTTGATTAGTATGAACTTAAGGAAACTTAGAAGACTAAGTAGGTCAAAGAAATTTATAATAACAAAAAAGTTGCATGTTAAGATTCCCATTTTTAACATGCTTTAGAATTTGGTAGAGGCATTATTTGACTAGCCTAAGTCCCTGGTAAACATTTAACTTGGCAGATATAAGCTTAGTATTTTCCTTGTTTTGTTCTTTAATGGGTTGGAACTTGGAAGCAGCTGAGCATGTGATGGTGAATTGAATATTATATTTCTCTGACTTCTCTGCAATCCCCAAATAGTTAAACAACATGTCTCATGTGACTTATCACATGAGACCAAATCAGTCACTGTCCTCACTGCTTTATTTTATCTTCATAAGTTTTGTATCTCTATTAAGTATAATAAAACACAGCTAAAGTTAGCTGGGTAAGCCTACTTTTCTAGAAATGAATCACCATCATCTTCTGGGAAATGCCAGTTTATCTTCCACTTTTTCCAACAAGTATATTCTCTAATTTGACTTGGCTCTATCTAAATCTTCTAGTTTGATCCCTGTCTTAAAGCATTGAATTATACTAACAAGTTCCTGCGCACTGTTAGTGTCATAGCAGCAATGGCACCTATAATCAATATTCTACCCCAACTAAATTTAGCTGGCCTGTCAGCCATGACCAAAATCCTTAGGATTTGTATCAAAATCTTTAATTACAAATTTCCCTCAAGGCCGCCTGTTTTCCTGAGATTCAAGTATTGGTGGAATATAGAACACTGATCTCCCAAGGCATTTTAAAAATGAAGTATCCACCTGGAACAATTTCTAATGCAAAATTAGAAATATATCTAGATTTAGCAGGCTTTCCTACACTTTTACTATAGTATAGGATATTCAATTTTGCATCAATGATTAGTCAGCAATGAATTTCAGTAGTGACTGAAAGCTATCTATTTGCATAAAATGCAACTCCATTACCGTAGCTAGCAGAAAAATGGGCAAAGATGTCTGCTTAAGATAATCATATGGCAAGATCTGCTCAAGTGACTCCTGAAAGTTAAAGAACAGAGATTTCAGTGTAAAGTTTTCTTTGGATATTCAAAGGTTCATGTGTATTGAAGATTCTCATTGTCCCAGAAAACATGTGGTCTATTACCATCAGTATGAGAATAGAAGATGCAATGCTGACTTTGAAACCCTTTGATGAAAGATCAGACTGAGTGGCAGACTTGTATTTATGCCCATCGATTGTGTATCAGATTCTCAGAAAACAAATTTTGACAAGATTTCACGGATCAGAAACAGTGATCCATCACTTAACTGCCTCAACAGTTAAGAATCATCATAATTGCCAGAACTCTTATCAGGTTTATACATATTTTTAGTAGTCCTATTACCCACCAGTCCCCATAGTTCCGAGGAGAACTGTTTTTGAAGCTCTTGATCTATTTTTAAAACCCAAATTTAGTTATCAGGCATCACAAGATCCTAAAATCCATTTTCCATGCCTACAGTAAGTCCTGCACTGCAGGCTGCAGGTTTGCAAAGGTGTCTAAAGATTAAAGAAGATACAACTTCAAACACACGTTATTCACAAAAATCATATCAATGAATCAATAATGTGAGTACAGAATTGACATAATTGATCTGCTTGGAATACAAACCACAGCTCACTATATTTTCTCATTATCCTACATTATTGATACATTATCCTTCCTGATAAGACTAACATAGCCAAACTGTCTAGCAAAACAAGAAACTAACTGCTCATGAATTACATCTTCTGCAGGAAGCAGAATACCTGTTTCCCTTCTTAAAGATGTTACTTCTTTATCTGGAATCCCGCAAGGCACAATATGCTTAAAATAGTTTAAATCGGGATCAATGTTGAAGGCCAATCCATGAGAAGTGACTCCATATTGTATCCGAACTCCAATTGCACCTATCTTTCTATCTCCAACCCAAACCCCAGTTTCACCTGTATTTCCAGCACGAGCTTTTACTCCATATAATGATGCTAATTCAATCATAGTTAACTCAAGTTTTTCCACATAATTCCGGGCACCAATTCCAATGTCACGAAGAGAAACAATGGGATATAATATTGCTTGATGTGGACCATGAAATGTAATGTCTCCTCCTCTCTGTGTGTAATGAAGTTCGGCTCCTATCTGTTTTAGTTCAGACACGGGAATTAATAAATTGTGATCAGTCCGGCGTTTTCCAAGGGTATATGTGGGTGGATGCTGTAGGCACAAGAGAGTATCTGGGATCTTATTAATTTTTCTATCAGACATAAGTTTTTCCTGCAGCTTAAGTGCATCCAAGTAGCTGACAGTCCCCAATTTCCAGACCTCAAGAGTTCGAGGAAGTCTCATCCCCTGTAGATCAAGACATGATTAATTACATAGCATTGCTTCATCATCACATGGTGCCATTTCAAATTATTGGGTTAAATCACATGGCGCCCACTATCCACTATGGACTAAAGACATACTTTGCATGTTTCAAATCCATAGATACCAAAACCTAAAAGAAAGCAAATGCTACCCCACACATGTTAAATTTGGCCAAGATTAGCAATTCTAAATTGTGAAATCATCTAGTATATATGATGTCAAATGGCTAAATAAAGCAGACTAAATCATTAAATCATATCACTTTTTTCTAGGATAAGATAATCAGGAAATCATTTAATCACCAAGAAGAAATAGGTAACAACAAAACCATAAGAACATGATAAGTACTCTTTCCCAAAAACATATTTCTTTTTTCAAGTTCAAAAATATGTCAATACATGTTCAGTTAAATTTGTAAAGAGCAGATCTCAAAAAGCACCACAACTTTTTTCCCCTTCATAATGTTTGAAAATGGAACTTTTCTCCCTTAAAAAAGGCTCCAATATCTCCACATTCTCAATTTAAAGTTCAAGAATTTGATAAAAATAACAGAAATATTACTACTAGATGATTATTTGCCATTTTTATAAATTAAGATACCAGAAAAGATGTGAGACATGTTTTCACTGTTTTATAATTTTTGTATGCTGGTTCAACATGCATTTTTACCATTTTTATTTTCTGAAAAAACATTCTCAAAATAAACTATCCGTATCATTGCAGATCTAGAACAAACTCAATTTCTCATTTCATTATACAGAACAGTGTTGCAAAAAGAATTATGCACAATTATCCCCAACGGCTACTAAACCACTAAAATTATATTGTGTGATAGCGGCTGAGAACAATCATTGATGAAGATACAAGATCTACAAGATCTTACAAAATGGGTATCACCAGAAATTAACAAATAAAAAATGAGAGACCAGCATCTTCCACTTCATTGACAAATAAAGCATAAGACAACACCACTTCTTCACAGCTTCCCTTCATGCTCATCTGTTTTCCCTTACCTAAATCGATATCATCTCTTTTATTCTTTTTCTCTAAATTCTTTTATTCAAACTTACGTATTTAACCAAAACTCCTCCCACAGCCGGTGTGAGCGAAATTCCATCCCAAGACCTCTTATACAACCCGAGAAAATCTAAACAACTGAAATAACTAGCACCTACACGTCTCATATTAGCTAATTCAGTTTATATGATCCATCGTGGTTGTACAAGACATTTTGAGATCGAATCGTGCTCGTAACAGGGTGAGATAAATTGGTTTAATTTTGTAACTTTAAAAAACAAAAATAAGAATATATACATACCCACAAATCTACATACTATCTACCCATCAAGGCTAATTAAGAACTACATAAAACTTCCACAGAAACCCAGAAACAGAATTGCGAAAGACGCAATTAAAAATGCACATAAAACTCACAGCGGCATTTCATCGAACAAATTATTGACATATTTCAACATTACATTTTTATTTTTTTTTTGAAGGATTTTATCTGAAAATAAAGCTTTAAAGTCCATAAGAAATCACAAGTTATCAGAAAATAAATTGAATAAAACGAATATATATAAAATATAAATTTGGAAATTAGAATGAGCAGAGGCTTACCGAATCCGACCGTTACAGGCTGCTTCTGAAGATGAGAAAGCAGGATAATTTAAAGGAGTTAATTTTCTGGAGCTTTTTATGTTATAAAATTTAAATTAGATTTTTTTTTAAATATTTCTGTAAATAGTTAAAAAAATATATTAATTTTGTGAATAGTAAAAAATATAGCTCTTTGTTTTAGGAAAATGAAAAGGGGTTTGATCTTTTTAAAACGGTCTGTGAATGTGATCCTAAAAATTAATATAAAAGTAGAAAATAATTAAAAGTCAGTTTCTACAGTTTTCTATAAATTATAGTTCTTAAATATCATATCAAATAAATTTTAAAATATTAAAAATATCCATATACGACTCAAAATTTGAGAAATATTTTTATTTTTTAATCTCAAATCAAACATATGCATAATTTTTTAATTACTTTTAAGTGATAGGTATTTCTTGAATATATAGAATTAATTTTTTCAATAATAAATAAAAATGATACGATGATTAGTAAAAATGCATATAGAAGGAACTTTTAACAAACATTTAACATTGTTTCAAAATAATATTATGAATCGAAATTTAAAAAATAAAAAATAGTTTAAATTATACGATGTACTATTAAATATTTTTCTACATCAATTTTTAAGTATATTCATTATTTTAAAAAAATATGTTCTTTTAGTTTCTTTTAATTTTGTTTATTCTTATTTAATCTAGAATGTAGGTATTGAGATATATTGGTTTGAGCTATTTTTTAGAATAAAAAATAAATAAGAAATAAAATTATAATCTCTTAAAATTTATTTATAGAATATAGATGTATGTGAGATAACAATTTGTTATTTTATTGAATAATCATTTTATTATAAAAATTATTTTTTTTAAGACTGGCATACAATATAAAATCACTATTAATTAATTAATTTTGTTACACTAAATAATAATGGCATGGTGCAAAATTTTGTCTAATGATAATTAGAAAATAAAATAATTTTATTTAATAAAGTAATATATTTAAGATTTTATTACTATTTATCTTTAATATAATAATATTACTCTATACAAAAATATAACATATAAATTGTGAATTATATTTATTTACTTATTTCTTATGATAATTATAATTCTAAAAATAACATGAAAAATTAAACTTTGATTGCAGATAATTTTCCATGATCCAGATGAGGATAATTTTGGAATAATTTAATCATATATATCCTTTAGGAATGTACAAAAAATAAATAAATGTAACAAAATCCCTTAAATAATCATTCAATCTATCAAAGAAAAGTCACACAAATGTTGAACCTATTTCCTTAATCAGTTGAAATAAGACGGCCATTTTGTATGATTTATTTGAATAGAACTTATTAAAGAAGAGTTTATTTTGATAGAACTTAGGAAATCATAACTTTTATGAAAAAAATTATTAATTGTTTGTTTAAAAAAATTATAGTGTTAATTTACCAAAAAGCGTTTAAAATAACATAAAACAATGACATTTTTGAAATTTCAACGCTTTAAATAAACTTAAAAAAAGTTTATGGAATATATTGCATAAAATAGTTTATTTTAAACCTTATAAGCATATTTGAAATACAATAAGTTACCGAACAATCCAAAAAAATAATAATTCAAAAGTGTTAATGACTTTGAATACGCTCTTTCAGCCCGTAGATAAATCCAATTAAACAAACTCTTATTATTATTTATTAATTTCTTAATTATTGTCTTTCATATAACAATTTATATAAATAATTTCCTAATAAACTATTAATTACTTTCACAATATTCCAACAACCAACATGCAAACATGAATATCTCCTAAATTTTATTTTATATTTTAGTTAAAAGTAATCATGAAAATGTATTATATAACTACCAACATAAAATATATACGAACATGTTTTCCCTTTAATCTTTGTTATTTATATTCATGAATTTTTTTTTGTATAGTTATAAAAGAGATGAGAAGAAAAAGATTTAAAAGTTGTCAACCAAACAAGAGAGAATATTTAAAAGAGCATTAATAGAAGAGAATATTGGAGAGAAAAAAAAATTCATATTTAATTACATGCAATTATGCATTGGGCAAGACGCAAGACCGCTGGCGTGTACCATTAATAACGCTTATATATATATATATATATATATATAAGCAAGACGGATCCAAAAATTTATGTTAGGGTGAGTCATAATAACAACTAATTATATATTAATATTTTTATCAGGATAGGTTAAAATCCAGAAATTGTACATATTAATATATATATTTTTTTTTTAAAATTTGGGGATGAGTCATGCTAGTTCTACATCTGCAATGTATATGAGGATATGTGAATTCATACAAGGTAAAAAGAGCTCACTGCTAGGCCTTCAATTGGACCAAGGTGCCATCTAAAAATACAAATGCATTGCGAACTCAATACCTACAGCTTTCTTCTTCCAAAAATTTGAAATACCCTGGTTTGGAAACAAAAATAAATAAACTATATACAGAAGATAAATCTGCTTAATCTAATCGAAGAGAAAATAACATAGAGCCCTGTGAGGCAAATCTAAATCAAGAAAGTTTCCTTTTAGTTCACTCCAATATCTCAATCTTCAATTATGAAACTAAACTAACCATTACAAAATCAAAAATAAGAAGGAAAAATTAATATGATTTATGTATTCATAATACTACTCTATACAAACCATCACATATAAATTGTGAATTATATTTATTTAATTATTTGTTATTAAAATTATAATCCTAAAAATAACATGAAAATATAAACTTTAATTGCAGATAATTTTCCATGATTCAGTTGAGGATAATTTTGAAATAATTTAATCATATTAATCATTTGGGAACATACGGAATTAAATAATGTCATAAATCCCCTAAATAGTCATGCAATCTGTAAAAGAACAATCACAAAAATTGTTTATATCACGATTGATCATATATATAAATAATTTAGTATTATATTTGCATTTTTTTTTAATTAACATTTTAGATTGGGTGATTTTAACTTTCGTTCCTAAGATTTGAAATATATTGCACTTATCTCTAGTACTATAGAGTAAACAACATTTTCCTACCCAAATAATGGCTTAATAACACTTTCCTACTCACAGACTTTTAAGATACTACTTTATTATCCAAATTTATGTTTCATTTCCGATTCTGACATCGTTGCAATCCCACACCACCACCATTCGCTTACTCGATCATCACTCACCAAACCCCTCCGACCCATCTCTCATTGATCCCGTTAATCATCGGCAATCGAGCGATTAGGGTTTACGTAGCCGTCCTTTCCAAGTCAAATTTCAATTAATCCCAACCACCAAAATCTAACATTCCACCACCAAAAGACTCATCGACCTTCTTTCTTCAAAAGCCTCAATAACTTGGACCGAGTTTGCTCTATGTTCACTGTCGAAATATAAATTTAAGTAATAAAATAGTATTTTAAAATCTGTGGGTGAAAAAATATCATTAAGCTATTATTTGGGTGGGAAAAAGTTATTAACTCAGTAATATGGGATACAAATAGTTTAGTTCAGTTAGGAGAAACTTTTCAATAAAAAATCTATAGTACCCTTATGTTCTAATTCTCATGTTCATAGAAATAAATAAAATATATATTAAAAAAAAAAAGCAAAAAGTAAACAGTACACCTCTAAAAGAAGTTAATCTTTTTTTTGTAAGAGTAATAATTAATATCCAAATATAATATAGATTATTTTTAGTGGATTATAAAATCTGCTTAATTTAACAATAATGCAACAATTAAAACATCATCTAATAATCACTCATCACAATTCTAAACACAATAAAATCATCAAAGCTAAAACCAGAGTAACACAAAAGATTTAAAACATCCAACCTTTTAATTTATTTTATATTTTACTATTCCCAATAATGCATCATGAATTTTACATAATCAATAATATATTGGGTTATTTATTGACCTTTTAAAGTTTAATCAAATAGAAAATTTGTCTTTGAAATTTCAAAAAATAGTGAAATCTTCTTACTTTGATGAATAACAACTTAATTATCCCTTTTTCGTTTATTTTAATATAAAAAATTTATGATAAAAGGTTAATCTTTATTACTATAACTATACATAAATTTTTGTTATTAATTATACTTATAAAAAATTATTGTAATTAACCTTAATTTATATGTTAAAGTATTATAACATGAGATGCGTCATTTCACGTTCACAAATATTTTGCTAGTGAATGGTCGTTCATTAACTATGGACGGCCGTTCACTTACGATGGACTCCCATCCATATTATATGGACAGGAGTCCATTTACTATGGATGGAAGTCCACATTTAAAGGACACCCGTTTATCAGTAAATGGAAAAAACAATATAAACAAAAATAATGGACAGTCGTTAGTAGGTTATCGACGATCATCCCTAAATAAAGGATGGGAGTCCACATATAATGGACGCCCGTCCAATCTTTAAATAGTAAAATTTTTATAAACAAAAGTAATGGACTGGCATTCATATGTTAATGGACGCCCGTCCATTATTAATGGGTTTAAAAAATAAAAAAAAAATTAGGGATGCCCGTTCATCATTTATGGATGGTCGTCCCTGAATTTTGGACGGGTGTCCTCAAATAAGAGACACCTGTCCATAATGTAAATTAAAAAAAAAAAAAAAAACAAAATTTGGGACGGGCGTCCCTAACTTGTGGATGGGCGTCCACATATAAAGGACGCTCGTCCTTTATTTTTGAACAAGCATCCGTATTGTAAATTAAAAGAAAAATTAAAAAAAATTAGGTTAAAACACAAATTTGGGGGAAGTTTTTAAAATTAAAACACAACTGCTTCATCTTCGGTCTTCTTCTTTGTCTTCGTTCCCCATCTCTGCTCTTCTTCTTCATCTTCATTCCTCATCTACGCTCTTCTTCTTCTTCAAAGTTCTCATCTGCCTCACTCTTCTTCTCCGTCGAAGATCCTCATCTGCCGTGATTCTTCTTCAAGTTCCCCATTTGCCATTATTATTGTGAGGTAATTAGTTATTTTGGCTTCTAAATTTTTTTTTTTTTTTTTATGTTGGA